CATTTTACTAACTCTGATTACTCACATAAACAGTGTCCCGTATCTCCTGTGTGGTAGGTGAAAAAGGTGTGTGGATTATGATGTATATTATGCTTTATGATGACTCGTTTTATCTGTGGCTTGTGCGTGTGCAGTGTGTACACTTATTTTGTGCCTATATTTGTTCCTTCAGTTCGTCTCTTTGAGTGGCAGGATGTAAAAGCCTTTTTAAATGTTTGAGTGTCAAAATTGGAGGACCATCACATTTGGAGCTATTTTACACAGGTACATTGTACGGCTTTGTAATAATACTACGGGACTCGGAAAAAAACTTATAAATGAACTGTTTGGATATGATTAATGCCCTTATAATTGATAAATTTGATGGAACTTTTTTTGATGTTCAATTTGTTGTTTAATTTGGACGACCTTTACGTTATTATTATTTTTGTTTTTTTTTATCATGCGTTGATGAAACTTGCCAAGTAGCTTAAGCTCCATGAAACTGAAATAATGTCTGGATTAAATGTAATTGTAAAATATTAAAGTGTCGCTAAAAATTTGCATGAAATCAATCCTCCCATGTCATCAGCAGAGGTGGTCAGATTTTTTAATTTGTTTACGAAACTACAATATTAAAATAAATTCAAACATAAACTTGTGATAAACTCCAAAAAAATGCAATATAAGAAGAATCAATAATCAAAATAATCAGCAAATCAATGAAATGTAATAGTATATCTGTAACTAAATAAAACATTCATAATATACAAATGAAATGTAATTTGAAATGAAATTTTCTCTATTTTTAAAACCCCAAGCCCAATCCTTATGCACAAAAAATAAATATTTTAGCATGGGCAGGCCCAGTCCATTGGGCCCATTTTTTCATTTCTAGAAAAAGTCCTCAGCCTGTCCTTTTCTCGAACTGGGTCAGCTTATCAAGATCCCATCTCTAATCACAGATTATCTGGAATAGCAGATAATCTGTACTCATTTCAACCATTACTTACACGCATTGTCCATTGCTTACATCTATGGTTTCTAGATTTTAGTATACAGTAAATGCTCAAGAATCACCCTCCTTTTGTGTTGGATTTGAATTTTCTGCAAGTGACTCCAAAGAAAACTCGAAAACTGCAGCATACATCTAATTCGTCTTTGCTCTCTTCCATACAATGACAGTGCCACCAAAATCTGATGAAGCCAACAAATTCTCTCCATAATTCCAAGTAATGCCTATCACCGGGTAGCTATGACCCTGCAAGTTGGAATCGATCACCGGCATTAAATTGGATTTGTACTTCTTTTCTTTTCGAAACGATATATTTTATAAATAAAAACACATAATTACAACTAGGCTGTAAATGAGTTGAGCCGATCTCGAGCTTAGGGTGCTTGAGCTCGAGCTCTTAACGAGCCGAGACGAGCTCGGCTCGTTAAATAAACAAAGCCAGAAATAGAGCCTGAGCTCGGCTCGTTTATCACTATTAACGATGCGAGTTCGAGCCTTAACAAGCCGATCTCGAGCTTTAACGAGTCGAACGATAGAAATTATATTAAAATTATCTTTTCGAGCCTTAACGAGGCCCGCTCAACTCGTTAACCAAATTAGCTTTAAATGAGCTCGAGCTCAAGCCAAACTCGAGCCTTGACGAGACGAGCTCGAACCGAGCTGAGCCAGACTCACTTTATTTAACGTCACTAACTACAACTAAACAATAGCTAAAAATTAGTCAAGCAACCATTTAGCTTAATCTAGCAGGAGAATGTCTTGAAATCAGGAGCCTCTATGCTAACTCACCATGAAACAACCAACAAATGATAAATGGGATGTGTACCTTAAAAGTTGAAAAACGTAATAAATATTAGAACAAACCTGCAATTTGTTCACACATGTATGCCTCGGCCGTGTTAAGTCATAGAAGTAGACACTTGCATCCTCACTCCCAGCAACTAAAGGTAAAGACCCTCAGGAATCAGAACCCATTTGTCTTTTTGTTTGTTTGTCCAAAGAGCACATTTCGGTGAAACTAATATTATTTGCAATCTTACCTATAAATTCTCCCTTCTCAAGGGAAAGCAAAGGGCAGAAAGAGGCACGAATGCTGTGTAATCGTGGTGCCAATTTAAGTGCACAACGAAGGGTCAAATAGCCTTGCACCTCCAACGAAACACTGCAACATCAAAATCAACCAAAATATCTGCTGTTGGATCACGTTGGGATAATCACATAACTAAATAGTATAATATCCGTTTCCTCCACAAACATAGGTGCATAGCTATAGTTTAAGAAAACCCAACCAGTGTGGTTGGGGAAGTAAAAGGTAATGATACCAAATATACCCCCTAAATAAATTGTTATATTTCTATGAGGCTCTTTCGTTCATAGTCATATAAACTGAACAAGGCCAACGATGGAATTTCACATATAAATACTCTGTTTAAAGCAACATGCCTATTTTTGTTGTATTACTATGGCTCTTTTGTTCATAGACATATAAACTGAACAAGGCCAACAATGGAATTTGACATTATAACAAATTCCATGTTTGAAGTAACATGCCTATTTTCGTGGGAAACTTGAATTAGTAATGTGGTTTATTTTAGTGGGATGGACGGCGTACAGATAATATATAATTACTGCATTCTCTATAATGACAATGTGTAAAATAAAATATGTTTTGAGGGAGTATTTGAAATTATGAGAGAACAATGAGCTCGATTAGAAAAATTATGCATAAAAAAATCACAAGGGGCTTATACTGGTAAATCTTTTACGATTAGAATAATCACCCCATAATTATAAAGTATCCCAATTATGTACTCAAAACTCATATATGTATTGTAAAGGCAAAAGTACAATGGGAACTAACCTGAAGAAAGACAAGCTTCCATCCCGACATAAAGTCAACAACACGGGGCCCCGTGCCAGCAAAGAGAAGGTTCTGTACTGTACGGTGGTGACTGGCGATTTGTTCTTGGCTTTGCTTCTATGCCGGTGAGAACGAGATAAGGCACCAGTGTGCGAGTTCATTGTAACTGTGTATACGCATCCCTACAAAGTCAGTTGATGAGGAAAGTGTTTTAGTGGATGCTGGTTTATAAAAATTAAAAATACCAACAAAAAAGTCAAATCTCAAAACTCAAATCTAATTCAAATTAAACTCAACCCCACTATCATTCATCAACATCAACATCAACATACCCAGTATATTCCCAACATGTTGGGGTCTGGGGGGTCAGTTGTACGCAGACCTTACCCTTGTAATTATACAAGGAGGCTGTTTCCATAGCGACCCAAGGTGCGTTGCGTCGTTTGATATATTTTTTTTTTCTAGAAACTTCACTAATAGAAGAAGCACTAGAATTTAATTGAGTCATTTTGATCTAGTCCATTATTAGCACTATGCCAGGAGAATTGTCAATAATGACTCTTCCAGCTCCATATGCAACGGACATATCAACCCCACTATCATTAATATTAATAATATAATCAAATAATAGCAATAAATCATATCATCCCTACACATCACATCAACTTTAATTTACTATTCATCCACTCACATAATTTTAACTACACATCACTTCCAATCACATCTCTCATACTTTTACATCAAATCAACTTTATAATTTTATTTCAAATATTATTTTAATACAAGATCAAAATCTCACTCAAACCTAACTCAAACAATTTTTTCAAAATTAACTATGGTTAACAAAAAAAAAAACAAAAAAACAAAAATAAACAAACATGCCCTTTAAGAGAAAATTGTCTGTAATATTAACATTAAAAGCAGTAGAGAAAGCTCCATGACAACCAGCAATACCTGAGCATCACCACAGAAGATGAGCTGGCCCGTGTGGTCATGGTCCATGGCTGTAATCTCACTGTCGAATACAGATTTATTGATTGTCCGACCGGTACTGAAATTGAACACCTGGAAAATGCAAGTTAAATGAAAATGAGATGAGCAGTCTTTGGAAAAGCATGAAGTATCTTGTGGAAGGAGCAGCAATAGAGACAGCTACTGTATTTTCCTACAACTGAAGGCTTTGGTTTTCCAGATATTAGGAAAATCTAATATTCAGGAAATATAAAGGAAGAAAGATATGTAAAACGATTTGTGCAATGAATTTTAGAAACATCAGATGCATAAAGCGTAATACAAAGGTTGTTTTGGGGGCAAGGTAATTGATTTTGGCAGGTATCTAAAACGATATGCTGCAGTTTGCGCAGATAGCACATTTTTTTAGTGAAGAAAAATAGAGATTGAAAAAAAAAAAGCTGCAGCATATAAAAAAAAATGAATATATAGTAAAATTAAGGTGGTGTAATTGGCAAAAGTGAGGTAAGAGTTACCATTATCTCTTTATTAGCGTTGCCAACGGAAAGAAAATTGTTATTCACCTGCACATATGTAGAGAGGAAATAAAACTTCTTTCACTATGTAAAGAATTGGGAAGAAGTATCAGTCATCATGTACTCACAGGATGAAAGCGAATACAAAGCTGTGACGAGACTCCATAAATCACTCTCATGCATATTCCTTTCGAGATATCCCATACTCGTACCGTCTTATCAATCGAGGCAGAAGCAATATACTGATTGTTCGCTGAGAAGTCGAAATCTGGAAGGGACAGTCACATTAAAATCCCAGAAACAACACAATCCTCTCGCTCTGACTATTGAACGATCACAAAAGTAAATTTGCTTTTAATTGAACAAATTCTCACAAATAATTGAACAAAATCTCACAAATAAACGTAAACAAAGTTTTGTATCCTGAACTTTCTAGAGCCACTGGAGCATTCTTAGTGATAACTCTGTGATGCAGAAGCGTAGTAGATGAAAGGGAAGAAAGTGAACAACTCACGTTTAATAAATCTGAAGAATGAATAATCTGTTTATTTTCTCCAGCAGAAGCAACATATAAGCATAAAAGAGTCCTACTACCACTTATCTTGCTAATCAAGATAATTATTTAATTTCCAACATTATTCCTATAACTAGAAAATAAACTAAATAAAAGATAAATAATATGTAGGAAGTAAAGCACTAAATGCGGAGCCGGTCGTATTTGTCCAAGAACGCCATCGCGGTCTCATCCCCATCATCCTCCCCCGGTTGGGAAGGATTCGGCCTCGAATCCGAACCGGTCTCATCCCCATCGGAATTATCCCCCGTAAAAGGCACCAAATGTTTGACGTTGAAGACGTCAGACGTACGAATATGAGAAGGAAGACGGAGGCGATAAGCATTCGGGTTAATTTTCTGAATTACCTCAACCGGGCCAATCTTGCGCGCCGACAGCTTATTGTACTCATGGGCCGAAAATCTGTCCTTAGTCAAGACCGCCCAAACGTTATCGCCGACCTCGAACTCAACATGCCGGCGTCGTGCATCAGCCTGCCGCTTGTAGGTCGCCGTCGTCTCCTCCAAACGGGCCCGGGCCTGTGCATGGCCGGCCTTCAACTCTGCCACGACATCCGCCGCGCGCCTGTCCACCGGGACTGACGACGGGAGAGACAGCAAATCCGACGGGCCGCGGGGCTGCAACCCATAGACCGTCTGAAACGGAGAGAGCCCGGTCGCCCGGCTAACGGCCGAATTATGTGCGAACTCGGCCGGGCTGAGCCGCTGATCCCAACACTTAAGGTTGTCGCCCACCAAACACCGAAGCAAGTTACCCAACGAGCGATTCACCACCTCCGTTTGACCATCCGTTTGTGGATGATAAGCGCTGCTAAAATCCAGTCGGGTGTTGGCCATGCGCCACAAACTACGCCAAAAATGGCTCAAAAATCGAGTATCCCGATCTGAGACAATAGAAGACGGAAGGCCGTGCAAACGATAAATCTCGCGAAAAAATAACTGGGCCACGTGGACAGCATCGGTAGTACGTTTGCACGGAACGAAGTGGACCATTTTAGAAAAACGATCCACCACCACAAAGATCGAATTAAACCCCCGTTGTGTACGGGGCAACCCCAAGACGAAATCCATACTAATCGCGAGCCACGGTGCAGACAGGATCGGAAGAGGCCTATATAAACCGGCATTGGTCGCGACCCCTTTCGAAACCTGGCTCTGATACCAACTGATGCAAAAGCGTAGTAGATGAAAGGGAAGAAAGTGAACAACTCACGTTTAATAAATCTGAAGAATGAATAATCTGTTTATTTTCTCCAGCAGAAGCAACATATAAGCATAAAAGAGTCCTACTACCACTTATCTTGCTAAACAAGATAATTATTTAATTTCCAACATTATTCCTATAACTAGAAAATAAACTAAATAAAAGATAAATAATATGTAGGAAGTAAAGCACTAAATGCGGAGCCGGTCGTATTTGTCCAAGAACGCCATCGCGGTCTCATCCCCATCACTCTGCTACCAAGGAAGAAAGTTGTAACACTTATTTATGATTTTCTACGAAGAATGCCTGATTGTCCAGTCGAACATGAAACAACAGGGATTAACAATACAGTAACTCAGTAGACCATCATCCTTTCTGGAGCTCAGTCATTAAGATATTTAGTTATTGAATATAGTCACTGTGCACAGCTGATGTATCTGGGCAGTTACCATTCACAAGGGCATACAATACAAGATGATTCCATTTCACGTATATAAATAAAAACCAGTATATATATATATATATTTTGGTCGGAACGATAGTAAATAAAAACCAGTATAGACATGAAGAAAAGATTAAATAGTACCAGTCAATCCAACCTGTGACATCTTTTGTGTGTCCTGTTAACTGCTTTAAAATTGACGGCGGCATGGAGACGGTGCACACAGTCAAGCTTCCATCAGCTGCTCCATAAGCGAGAAGATCTGAACTCATATGGCCAAATTTTATGACCGTAACTATAGAACAATAAAAAAAGCTCATTGGTTTCAAATGAACAACAGTGGAATTTGGTTATACATATATGATTCAACAAAATCTGATTATAATGACAGAAATTACCCATGGCCTTGCATTGGTCGAAAATGCAGTGCATCCCTACGAAGGAATATGCAGGTTCACCCTTTTTACGAGGGAACTCAATATCACTTGTGCTAGAACTGAAACTCGTCCTATGGCTCATTGCTTGGCCTAAACTTCGGACATCCTATAAATGGGTCAACATTAGAATATATTTCATATGATGTTTCCCTTTCCCAAACGGAAAAGATAAAAATTCTAGATGTGTCTACTAATAAGAAGTTTCATTTATCATATTAATTGTAGGCTTGTCGCCAAAGCAAACACCTGAATCTTCACGGATGAGTAATGACTTCAACCTGGGGAAATATTTTCGAGTAAACCTTCTTACACAACAGTGACTATAAAATATATCATGTAATCTACTTAAGCACCCAACACTGAACATGAATCAACTATCACCCTGTTGCTAAGTTCATTAAATGAAGTAAATTTGAATATTATAATTTGCGATCTAACCAACCAGTCATCTTAACAAAACTCTTGCAGCTATTTGCACAACTAATTAACTTCACTGAAACTATTGCAGCATGGTTTTAAAGAACACTCAAATACTCTACTATTGACACTTAAGTGATTCTCAAATCATGTTCAAATAGAAATTAGGAACGAAGGTGATAAAAGGAGGATTGTACCCTGCTAGTACTCCAGCTGTCTGCGTCAAAGAATGGTGATAGTGGACTTGAAGTTGACACCCATCGTCCACTGATGCATCAACCAGTAAATTAACCTGATGTGAGAATTGCGTGGAAGAAAAACTTAAATAATAAACTTACATCATAAATATTTATAAATACAAACTTATTAACATCTTGTACTAAAAGTAGGAATACATTGCACACAGACAAGCTCTAGTAGGAATATATCTTCATGAAAAAGTTTCAGTTTGCTTTTGGGACATATACTCTTGGTAAAGTAAAGGTTACAGCAAATTATGTCACACAACCAGAACCAGAATTTAGCAACCTGTTTCCTGGAGTACTCGGGGCGCTTGGTGTCTGTAAACTGTCTCCATTTTTTGGTCTATTAATGTAATTTCGGTAGGCCACATAACCTCTTCCATTACATCTCCAGTCCTGTATCATGCAACCAGCACATTTAATAGGATCAATTGATCAAATGAGAAAATGAACTTAAGTACATTGTACTGTACATGAAGAAACTCATTCAAACCACGAGATCAAACCACTGAACTCTGCTAGCTTAACGATGTTTTCATTTTATGCGCTTGGCACATAACTTAAAACAGATTCATCAAGCGCAATCACAAGGATCATACATAGTATTACTTATTTCAACTGCAACTTCAATCTCGAAATGAAGCTTCTAATAGTTATATGCTCATAATTTCGGCAAAAACAATGCTTAACAGAATGCAGTAGAATTGCAGAAATGGATACTAAAGCTCATTGACCTTCCAATCTCATTTATTATCAACAACCAATGCTTCAATGGCGCACTTTTCTACGAAACACGCTCCATCTCCGATACGTGAGCACATTTCACAAATTCAGATACATTAAATGCTCGCAACGGGCAACGTAAAAGGTACCTTACGGCGGAGAACGCCGGCCTCCGCCTTGCGGTACAGGAGGAGGCGGCGGATTCCGATGTAATTGGGATCGGAATCGCGAGGCGAAGGCTGAAGCAGACAACTGAACAACTCTGGATCCGAACTCAAATCCTCTTTCTTATTCTCTCCGTTCTGATATTTCAAATCTTCTTCTCGCGGAGAGATTACACCGGCTGTTGGATCCGCCATTGATGCGAACCAAGCTCAATCTCAACTCCAACTCATTAGCTAAAACACCTTCTGGATTTTCCTCTGGCAATGAAGATCACGAAGCTTGAATGTGTTTGATCGGAAATTCGAAGGTGATAGCTCCTCCGATTGAAGGAATTGTTCGTCGCTACACAGATTTTTGTTGGTGGTTTTGATTTTAGCAGTGATCTTTAGGCGATGAAGAGAGAGATGCACGGTGATTGTGTTGTAGAGTACGTGGAAATTGTTCGAAGTATTTTTTTTGCTTCAATTTTGACTTTCCTCTATTTTACATTTTTTATTGGAAAGTGAATTAGATTTGTCTTTTGCTTCTCTCATTTATGATGCAATTTTTTATTTTAAGATTTTTTGATGAAAGGTTTTGAACCGTGGGTTCAAAGAGCTCGGGATCGGTTCCCTTTAGTACAATATTGGCCCGTCGGATTCGATGGTCCGGTACACGAACCGGCCGTTTCGGTTAGAAATCTCTTTTGATTTATTTTTTATATATTATTTTTTTTCTAAATTAATATGATTATTTATTTATTTAATAATGGTGTAAAAAAATGAATTTGGAAGTCTACAATATTTGAGTCAAAATATTTATTTTATTTTGGGAATTAACATCATCAAAGTTTATTTATTGTAGGAAATTAGTCCTTATTACTTTGGTTTATTTATTGGATGAAATTCTAATAGTAGTACTTAGGCTATGTATGGTAAAATTAATGATAGATTTATAGTTTATAAGTAACTTTCGAGCGTATAGTACTTATAGCTGAAAAACTAGCTTATATGAAATTAGCTGATAAGCTACCTGAAAAAAAAATCAACGGACTTATTTGAAAAACTACCCAAAGAAGTATATGAGTTAAACTCGAGTGTTTTAAAAAGCTCGTTCTACCAAACAAAATCCCCACCCCTATATATAATTCTCGAATGTGCTGAGTCTACATGACTGCTTCTGGTGCTTCGGAATTCTACTTGGCGAAGAATCATGCTTCGTAATTAGGTTTGGACAAATAATATCGATATATTAATAATTAATAATCTAGGTTCGGACATTTCATAAATATTATTTAGCTAACTTAGGTATTTTAATATCACTTGTATTAATAATCTAGGTTTGGAACCCTTTAATTCTTTGTAATTTTACGTAGTGAGACACTAAGTGACTAATATATCCCTGACTTTTGATTTGTTTCCTTCAATTAACTATTGAATTATAAATGTATTTTAAAAGTTGATTACTTTTGTAGTTCTTATCAGTTTTACATATATAATATATCAAATTAATAATCTTTTCATGATCTTTGATTTGACATTCATATTATATATATAAAATAAATAAATTATATTTATCTATAATAAAAAAATAATATTTATTAAAATTTATTAGAAAAATGAAATTATTTCTCAGTTGATATATTAATGTGTAATGTAGTTATATGTTGTAAGTTAAAAAAATTATTATAATATAACACAAGTAAGTCACACAAATAAAAAGTGTCATACTAAATATATAATAATATATATATTTTAATAAAAGTTAATTAAATTTTCAACTACTTTTTCTCATTAATTTTAGATTTTGAAGAAAAAATTATCAAGCATCGATGTAATACACAGGCGTTGTACTAGTTTATATGAATACAAAAAACTTATGAACTAACCGAATAAATTATAAACTAGCTTATGTGATTATCAAATACAATCTTAAAATCTTCTTTAAATTTCAATAGTAATATTGAGATCATTTGTTTCCTCATCTTTCTCAAGTTCTCTAAAAGTCTATTTCAATTTTGAACAACATTTTTTTTTAACAACATTTATGCCATCAAGCTTTGTATTGCGACAAAGACGGATGAGATGTATAATGCTTATGCCTATGTATATCTAATTTGACATTTTCAACTAGCTATCTTCCATATACAAAATTTTGACTTATTAGCCAACAAATTAGTAAATAACAATATGAACTAATCTATATTCATATTTATTTTGAATTAATATTTCGAAGCTAATAATATCTTAGTTAGTAAAAATGTCAATTTCTACTTTCAAGTATTATATAAATTGATATCAGGTCTACATTAAATATTGAAAAGTAAAAAAATGTTCAAAAACATAAATTATATTAAAAATTAAATAT